GTCTCCAGGAAGAAACTCGATGCCAGCGTTCGTTACGTTACGTAACGCGTTTTGTAGGACATCATCTACGGCAAAGTTGATGAGAACCGGAGAGATAGAGCAACCCTGTCGCACCCCATTGGTGACGGGAAACTAAGGTGAAAGATCACCATAGGCCCCAACCTTCCCCGAGGTCTTGTGATAGAGTGCTTTTATGAGTGAGACATACTTCTCGGGTACTCCGTATCTCCGCAAACAGTTCCACAGTACGGCGTGATCGATAGAGTCGAAAGCCGCCCTAATGTCTAAAATACCACAGTGGTTTGCCGTCTGTATGCGTGGCAGTGTTCTAGTAGCTGACGGAGGATGAAGATTTGATCTATGCAGCCACGGCGTGCAAGAAACCCGGCCTGCTCCTCACGGATTTGCTTCTCATAGAATGGGCATAACCTGCGCAATAAAATGGACGCCAGCAGCTTCGGCGCTATTGGAATCAGACTTATGCCCGTGTGGTTGGAACAGGCGTTGCGATAGCCCTCTTGTAGATGGGTTTGACGATCGATTTTCCTCATGTGTTTGTGAAAGGTTTAGTGTATATATATATATATATCATCTGCATGATACAGAGGTATGGCCGTCGCGGGACAGGAATAAGACAGACTTTTATTGTTCAAACATCATCTGTCTAAGCCGCATTACAGGAGTCTGATGGAACGACCGGACAAGCAATGTCGAGGTCGGACACATACTTAAGTGCTCTGTTATGTTCCCGAATCGCTCAGTGCGAGAGGAAGAGCAAAGACCGTCTGACTGTAAGATCCTTGTACGTTCGAGTGAATGCGTCAAGCCCTAAAGCACATGACAGGAGCGACAATTATAACATCATAAGAAGTTAAGCTCAATAACACTGTCTGTTCACCTGCTGACCATTGGCACCCCTAACATGCTCAATCACTATAGGGTTCATTGGCTCAGGCACGAGTTATGCAGGTCACTAGAGAGGTTTCCCCAGATGGGACGGCAGGGTAGAGGAGAAAGAGGATTAAATGTGGTAAGTATGGGACCTGGCATGAGGGCATGAAAGCCCTAACCAATTCATATAGGTCACCTTAGACTTTCCATTTAGAGTAATAATTTGTACCACAAACAATTTATCTGATTTACATATAATTTGCGATTTCATATTCTACTGGGTTTCGTTCACAACTTCGAATGCCTGTATCATGATTCATAACCTGGTTCTTTAAATCTGTCATACAGGTCTCTGACGAGAGATTCTTGGTCTATATCAACGATTTTCTTGCATCTGGGGAAATACCCAATCTATTCGCGGACGAAGAATATGATCAGATCATCACGAGTATTCGCCCGGAAGTCAAGAGCGTGGGTCTGCTAGATACTCCGGAGAATTGTTGGCAGTTCTTTATCGACAAAACTCGCCGCATGCTTCGGGTATGTTCGAGTGGCAGATTTTTACTGCTAGTCAGACAGTCAGTATGACGCAATAGTTGTGATAGCACTAATTCCCCCTATGGATGTAATACTACTGCTCGAATTGTAGCTGTAGCTAGCAGTATTGTGTGGCACAGACTATACAGAACAATATTCTGCTCCGGATAAATGAAATTAGAGCTTCATTTGTTTTAGTGTGTTGCAATGGTTTATAACTGTGCATGCATGTATAATATATTGATTAAAAACGTCCTTTCTGTATAACTTATGAAAATACCTAGTTTTTAGTTGATGGAAGCTGTGATAGAATAGTGGTACTCAGGGTACGTGTAGCAGAGGCTGAGTCGGGTCAGGGTGATGGGGTTTGTTTACTTCTTTTTTCTTTTTCTTTTACTTACTTTTATTGAGTATACAAAAATAACATTTTCAGGAAGGGGAAGCACCCAATCAAAGGGTTGTTATTCAAAACACAATGGAACAAGTCAGTTGGTGGTGGTGGGATTCGAACACACACATTCCCGGGGTGATTATTTGGTGATGTTACCATCGGGACACTACCGCGTCCACCCGACCCACGGATTAAAACCGTGGTGCTCATTTTTATGAGAGGATGAAAAGCAGTATTTCACATTTTTTCTAGGTTCAAACTGTGCGTCAGAAGGGTCACTAATACAATCGAACTAAATATTTTTGTTGGTGTGACACTGTCAGTTTGCCATATCGAAAGCAAAAGAGTACCTTGGGATTTACAACTAAAGCTTTCGGATAGCTTACACCTGACTCGCAAGGTAGTAAAATGGTGTACGCAACTGCAGTTCACTGAATATCGTTTCCTGGCCAAAAGGACGTATGTTTTTGAAATATTATCTACACACCCAATGTTCCCAGTACAGTCCTTTTGTTCACTCGAGCCACTGATCTTCGTGATTCAAACGGTATACTTCATTTTGTGTACCCCTTTCTTGAGAGCTTGAGAATACATATTTTCTATTTCTGTTGAGCCCGCGGATCGGCAATTTTGTTGTTACCCTAAAAGTAGGGGTTTTCTTTTCACTGAAAATACACCCCCCCAAGCGAAAAGAAAAAAAAACTTGCCCAGCAAACACTATGGGAGGTGTACTCTGTCGCAGCGTTTCCCGATTCAAGTATGAAGCTGCGTTCACCCTCAGAGAAACTGGGTTGTTTTTGAGGGTATTGGATGATTGATGGTTAACAAACCAATTGCTGAAAAGAATGTAACACGTAATAGAAAATGCTATTAAGCGAACCATCGTTCGTGCTTCCACAGAACTTCAGCATCCTTGCCAAGCCAATCGCTTCTTGTTGGAAATGTTTCCAAGTCCATAGCGATAGGGAGAAAAAATGAAATAATTTCATATTTCACCTGTCAAATGGCACATTGTATGAAAACGTAGACAGTGTACATACTTGGTTCGAATCCCACCGAGAATACTGATCCATTTCCCAATTCAAAACACACGAGTAGACGATTTTTGGTTACAATGACTGAAGAGACTTTTCAAAATGTAACATCAAACCACGTTCAAATTTTCCTATCCACAGCAAGTGTGAACAATTTTAGCAAGCTTTTTGGGCTCAGAGGCATGGTGTTACAGTTTGATTTTGTTCACAGATGGGGAATTTTCTCTTTTATGTCCTTAGTTGTTGTATTTAGTCTGCACTTAGGATATTACTAATTTTGTCAGGTTGAACTTCGTAAACTGTTGGGCTTTACTTTCTAGCTAGGATCAGATTTTCAAAAAGAAACATTTCCAATGTTCATGAATTTCGTAACACTTTCTTTTGATGTTTTGATTGAAGATAGAGTTCCCAGAATGAACAGCCTCAAGAATGTGAATGTGTTTGCTTGTTCGTTCCTTCCAAACAGGTTATTCTCTGTTTCTCTCCTGTCGGAGACAAACTTCGTGTGCGAGCCAGACGTTTCCCAGCGTTGGTCAACCGAACTTGCATTGATTGGTTCCACGAGTGGCCACAAGAAGCTCTTCTATCTGTGTCCGAACGTTTCTTGGCAGATTGTCCCGGTCTGTCGGTATGTCAGAAGCCCAGTTATTTCAAGAGATGTTCTGATCAAGAAGTTTATCAACCAATTGTTTACTTTTGAAAGAAAGCGCGCAGTTTTGATTAATAACATAGATGAAAGTCACAGAGGATTTTGTGTGGTTGCGTAATGTAATTCAACAAATGAAGAAAAACTGAACTGAATAGCAGAGAAGCGGTGTTTCACTGTCTGTGCACATATTGACTGAACGGTCACCGCCACGGAAACTTTCGAAACCAGTGTACTGAGTAAATGCATAACAAGTTTTGTGAAAATGTTCACGAAATCCGGTCAAGGGTTAAGAGGCGATTCAAGTCCAAAGGAAATGCGCAATTATTTGTCCCACTAATTGTCTCTCAAACTGTAAATCGGCTGACAATGAAACACTTAAAATTTGATCTTGGTGAGCAACTGGACACAGAGTTGCTCAGTTCGAACCAAATCATTCATTCACATCGAATATTGCAACTGATAGATGTTCACGAGTAGTAAATTTAAGTGAGTGGTGTGAACGTATCAACGTTACAAAGGAACATCAATAACGTGTGCTAATTCACTTTCAACTAAGTGAATTCAGGTGGATACCTGAATTGATGCGGTGCCGTCCTTTTTAAAATGTCAGACTAACTTCTGATTGATGAACTATATTCATCTACTTTATTCTCCAATCACGAGTCTATGAAAATAAATTGCACATCATACCGTCTGATCTAACGCGAAATGTCAAAAATTCCACTGATGCAAACCGAGATTGAGTCAGGTTTCAAACTATAACCAGAAATTCAGGTAAAATCATAAAATTTCCTCTTGCTGTCCTTGGACGAAGCAAATATGTAAACTGGACGTTGATTGCCCGACGCTTTGTTTCCCTTTTTAGCCGGAAGTATTGCCGTCTGTCAGTCAGTATATGGCGTTCGCTCACACGACTGTAAACGAGTTAAGTCAGGCCTACTTGCAAAAAGAACGACGTCACAACTATACTACACCCAAGTCATTTTTGGAACAGATCAATCTATACAAGCGAATGGTCGGTGCGCAGATTGATGAGCTTCAGCAAAAGATTGATCGACTTGTAAACGGCTTGGACCGGTTGCGAGATGCGGGTGAGCAGACGAGTGAATTGAAAGTGCAACTGGCCGCTCAAGAGATTGTCGTGAACGAGAAAACTGAGAACGCGAACAAACTGATCGCTGTCGTTGGTCAGGAAACAGAGAAGGTCTCGGCCGAGAAGGAGATTGCCGCGGAAGAAGAGGCCAAAGTCAGTGTGATTAAGGCTGAGGTCACTCGGAAACAGCATGACTGTGAGGTGGATTTGCGCAAAGCTGAACCGGCTCTGATTGCTGCACAAGAGGCGTTGAACACGTTGAATAAGAACAATCTCACCGAGTTGAAGGCACTGACCAGTCCACCACCGGATGTGGTCCTGGTTTGTGCGGCTGTCATGTGTTTGTTTGCCATGGACGGTAAACTGCCCAAAGATCGCAGTTGGCGTGCAGCGAAAGCCGGTATCATGTCCAAAGTTGATCAGTTCCTGAACAATCTATTGAATTATGATAAGGAAAATATTTCAGCCAATAGCAAACAAGCCGCAATTGAATATGTGAAAATGCCAAATTTCGATCCGGATGTGATCCGTACCAAATCTCTCGCCGCCGCCGGACTGTGCTCGTGGGTCATTAATATTCTCAAATTCCACGACGTTTATTGTGAAGTTAAACCCAAAAGAGATGCTTTGGATGCAGCCAACGAGGAATTGCGTCAGGCCACTGAGAAGCTCGAGGGTCTGCAGAAAAAGATAGCCGTTCTAGAAGCATCTCTTGCTGAACTGACGGCCAGTTTTCGTGAGGCCACAGAAGAGAAGTTACGCTGTCAACAAGAGGCAGATTTCACTGCCAAAACGCTAGATCTGGCTAATAGATTGGTCAGCGGTTTTGCATCGGAAAATATTCGTTGGGCACAACAAGTCGAAGATCTTCGTAAATTGGGTGAAACTGTGATTGGAGATGTGCTCATGACAACCACATTCATATCCTATTTCGGATATTTGAGCAAGCCGTTCCGACAACAGTTGATGGAAGAGAAATTGTGGCCTTTCATGAAAGGTTTGGCTGTACCCATTCCCATCCGGCCGGGCATCGACCCACTTTATATGCTGATCGATGATGCGGTGATTGCCACATGGAACAATCAGTCTTTGCCAGAAGATCGTATGTCTGTCGAGAACGCAGCCATATTCAGCTTTTGTGAACGATGGCCATTGTGCGTGGATCCCCAGTTGCAAGCGATCAAATGGATCAAAACACGATACGGGTCTAATCTGATTGTCACACGACTGGGTGCGAAAAATTACTTGGACCAAATTGAACGGGCCATTACAGAAGGCAGTACAGTATTGATTGAGAATATTGGTGAGACAGTGGATCCCATCCTGGATCCAATTATTGGAAGACAAACTGTTAAAAAGGGCACAGCCATGAAAATGGGGGATAAGGAGATCCCGTTCAATCCCAATTTCCGATTGATTTTACAAACCAAACTGGCCAATCCGCACTATCAGCCGGAGTTGCAAGCTCAAACCACATTGATCAATTTCACCGTGACTCGAGACGGTTTGGAAGATCAATTGTTGGCTGTTGTGGTTAGCAAAGAACGTCCGGATTTGGAGAAACTCAAATCTGATTTGACCAAACAGCAAAATGAATTTAAGATCACCCTGAAAAATCTCGAGGACTCGCTCCTGGCAAAATTAGCCAGTTCTGGCGGAAATTTCCTGGGCGATCATTCGTTGGTGGAGAACTTGGAAACGAACAAGAAAACGGCTAAAGATATCGAGGAGAAAGTGGCCGAAGCAAAGATAACAGAGAAAGAGATTAATCAGGCGCGTGAACACTATCGCCAGGCCGCCACCCGTGCTGCACTAATCTATTTTGTCATGAACGATCTGTGTCAAATTCATCCAATGTATCAGTTCTCATTGAAAGCGTTCCGTACTGTGTTTGAACAGTCAATAGACACGGCACCCGAAGCAGAAACGGACAAGGAACGCCTGATAAGTTTGTTAGACAATATTACCTATTCGATTTTCGTATACACCACACGAGGTTTGTTCGAACGAGACAAACTGATCTTTCTGATTCTAATGGTTTTACAAGTACAAGTGGCCTCAAAAGAATTGTCCGCTACTTTGATGGATTTCCTATTGCGTTACCCGGTCGTGCCGGATGCGAAAAGTCCAGTGGATTTTCTGAACGATTTGAACTGGGGTGGTGTACAAACACTGGTTAAAATGAATAATTTCCGTGATTTGGATAAAGATATTGTCTCATCGGCCAAAAGATGGAAAGCCTTTTTGGAAGCAGAAGCACCGGAAAAAGAAAAGTTTCCACAGGAGTGGAAAAACAAGAATGCCGCGGAAAAGCTCTGCATGATGCGTGCTTTACGACACGACCGAATGACGTACGCACTGAGGCATTATGTAGCGACAACATTCGGAACCAAGTATGTGGAGGCTCGTCAGGTGGAATTTGCCAAATCATTCAAAGAATCCAGTTCGGCTGTGCCCATATTTTTCATTCTTTCACCCGGTGTTGATCCATTGAAAGATGTGGAAATTTTGGGTAACAAACTCGGATTCAAACTGGATCAAGGGAATTTTCATAATATTTCCCTCGGTCAGGGGCAAGAGGTGGTTGCAGAGGCCGCACTAGAGAAGGCGGCTGAGGAAGGACATTGGGTTGTGTTGCAAAATATTCACTTGGTTGCACGTTGGCTGAGCACTTTGGAGAAACGAATGGAACAGTACGCCGAAACCGCGCATCCGGACTATCGGGTGTTCATAAGTGCCGAACCGGCCGGTGATCCATCTGCGCACATCATCCCGCAGGGGATATTGGAAAACGCGATCAAAATTACCAACGAACCTCCGACCGGTATGCATGCGAATTTGCACAAGGCGCTGGACAATTTCAGTCAGGTATGATCACATTGTTTTGAATGTTCTCAGAAGTGATAAAGTACATTTTTGCTATCAGAAGGGATAAATTTTGACGATTTGATATTCTTTTATAACTCCGGCTAAACATCAGTGTTGTGGAGTTCCAACCGGTTGCTTCTGCTGTTCCAAGATGGTGCGTTGCCACTACTTTATTTTCCCGTGTAATTGATTCACTACCCATCCACGATAGATATTCAATTTTAGTTTGTGTGCCTGGCTTACGCTCAGCCAGTACTTCAAACACATGCTTCACGTGGTACAATTGACTTGGATCACGAAGTATGCAGTGAAATGTTGACGAAAACGTAGACACTAAACCAAAGCAACATACATATCTGGTTGACAAATGTCTAGTTCTCACCTTTTCGTCACAAGCACCGTTCAAAGTTCTCCAAAGCAAACAGCCAAACGAAATTAACATTTGCCTTATAGAGATTGCTGCTTGTGACCGCTTTAATAGGTGTTAACCGAGTGTGTTGGATAGTCTGCGGTCGCCTACCAAAACAAGTTCTTCCTATTTACAGATTATGTTTGCTGGGATGTGTTGTGCGATGATTGCTTAGACCTGATCCTGATGTATGGCAACCAGAACCAGTGGCCTCTGTTACATAGATCCTGTTTGGCTCTCTGGTTGCAGTCTTCGAGAAAGGCATCACGAATGGTAAAAGAGACTAGTTTGCAAATATTTAGGCTTGTGCACTTACTCGCTTTTTCATTTATTTTATTTTCCCATATCACGTATCTTTCTTTTCTAACAAACAGCCTCGCGGTTACTGTGATTCTCACCCCATTAATTAGCCATATGTGTGATCGACTAACAGCAACCGAAACCGGTGAATGAAAATTCTGGGTTATTGATTACTAAAACTAAAACTCAAATGAAAATTATCGGGAAAGACATGCTTGTAAAATGTGAGGGTGTATTTTATACTTCTGACAAGTTACACTTGGAGATGTACAGGCTGCATCAAAAACGGTAATGATGATGTAGATAATATCAGCAGGAATGCTAACAAAGTTTATTGATTTTATTTCTCGGTACCAATCAGTCATCCATGTGCTGGTCTAACTGAATTACTTGTTTTTTTTCACCTAATACTAATGACTCGAGTGCATCTTCCTATTTGTCTTTGATCCACACGGTCAGGAAACCCTGGAGCGTTGCACCAAAGAAGCCGAATTCAAACCGATTCTGTTTGCTCTGTGCTACTTTCATGCCGTGGTCACAGAACGAAGCAAGTTTGGTGCTCAAGGATGGAATAGAACATATCCCTTCAATGTGGGTGACTTGTGTATCTGTTTGGATGTACTGTACAATTATTTGGAGGCTAACTCAAAGGTCCCATGGGAAGATTTGCGCTATTTATTCGGTGAGATCATGTACGGCGGTCACATCACCGACGATTGGGACCGAAGACTATGTCGTACTTTCTTACAGGAGTACCTTCAACCGGATTTGGTAAGTTGTATTTGTGGATGTAAGTGTATGGGAATTCGCCATTTATTCAAGAGAGGTATCTGACGGGTTTAGGCAACTGGAAGCAACATTTTAAGGTTTCGTTTTGTTTTTCATATCATGGTTGATGCATAACATTTTTCAACACTTTGTTAGTTATTATTATTATGTGTTGTTTGGTTGATTTTCGTTCGTACATTCATTATCAGGAAATAATGATTGCATGAACAATGT